TTTTGCTATTTTTGCATATTTTCTCTTTCCTACGGCCTTCACTTTTGTTGGGAGGAAGGGGTGGGGGGAGAGAGATATTGAAACAACCTTCACTTTTGACACCATACATCTGGACATCGAAGGATAACTGGCCGCTCGTTCGAACAATTGTTCCTCAACCGTAACAATTCAAAACATTTTTATTGATTGAAGTGAAGCAAACAGAAACTCTTAGCTGAATCTTCAAATTTGAAATGCAAAGTTCTTTTTAGCAAAACGAGTGTTTGGAAATATGACTGGCGCCGGAATGTCCGATGACGATGAGGACGACGAGAATGAAGCTGTTGAAGTGAATACAGACAGCGGAGATGAAAAGGAGAAATCGGTAAGCATTTGCGTTTTTGCTGCCCGTTCTCACTAATCTTCTTTCCAGCTCCATGACGAAGAGGAGAAGCTCGACTTAAGTAGTGGCGATGACTTCTGAGCGATCTGGTGGTTGTTCGTATTTGAGCTAGACGAGCTTTTCGTCTATAGTCTTGTTCGGGATTGTGCAATTTCATACGCGTGCCATAAGGCACTGTAATCATAGGTTTTTCTCACCCTTCCTCTGTTCCCTTCAAAATAAAAATAAAATAAAATCTGCAGTGAAAAGCGCCAAAATCAACATGATTTGGTGATCAGTAGTCGGCGGAGGCTGCGCCTAATTGGTTGTCGTCCTAGAGCATGCAGAGAAGATATTAGGGTGATCGGTTGAAAATGGGGCACTTGAAGAATGACTGCAGATCTCTTAAGAAAAGAAAGTGATTGAACTCTCTTATTTTGGCAGAAGTTAGAGCATATTAGTCTCTTCCAGGAAATACCTATATAAGGTCATTTCCATACCTGATGATTCCTATATTTGCTGAATTGCGAAGTTAACAACTTCGCCAAATCATGAATTTCGAGCAGTATCTATGCAGTGAAACATGTCAGACCATCCAAAGTACCACCGTTGCAATGGGTGACGGGACAGTCACCAAACCCACGATGGCTTGCTGGGTCCAACGCTTAGAGTCAGGAGATATGGTCATAAGCAATCTCAAGAACAAAGATGCGTGTTATCTATTTCATTGCAAGCGAACCCACCTAATAGGGCTTTTAACGCTCTATCCATATGCGGTTGTATGTGTTTACCGCAATTTTCTTCCATCTTCGGAAAGTAAGGTCGAAATATGACTTTTTAGTTTTTTCTTGCGCCAAAAAAATGCAATTTTTCAATTTTCTTGCTTCTTTATCTGGAAATATCCCCTGCATTTTGAATATCATTCGGAAGAACATGAAGAGCTCTTTCGATTGGTATGTCCAATGCCTCATGACTCCGTAGCACAACTGCGAGATGTTCAAAAAACTCTGTCCGAGTTCTTCGCGGC